CCTGCTGCTGCTGAAGAATTGGCAGGAGGATTGCAGTAATGAGGGCAAGACTTGAGGAAAGTTGCCAGTCAGAAGAAAATCTATCGAGAGCCAAACAGCCTCAAGTATTAAATTATATTTTTATTCCTTTCTCCAATTAAAAATGTTAACTGAGATTACTTAGCTATGATTTGCTGTGAAAATAGAAATATTTATCAAGTGGGAACACATGGGGTCTGTCCTGTACCCAGTACTTCTCCCTAACAAACATGATGACGTACCAAGTGCCTTTTAAGAGAGGAGGATTAGCACACTGGAGACAAAATTACCTCAACAGCTATCAGCCTGAGTAAAATAAAATGCAATTCAACAAAAGTAAGTACAAAGTCTTACACTCAGATGGAATTACTAGCGTCCTAAACAGAGCACAAGGAGTATGTGTCTACATGGCAATAAAGGAGGTGGAGTACTAGAATGAATCACAAGCTGAACAAGGTCAAAAATGCATAAAAATTTTCTGCAAAAAAAAGCAAATATCAACTCAGAAAGGATAAAAGGGACAGTTTATGAAATGCATTAAGTAAACTCTTCCACTCAGTTGTATGTGTTGCACATTAGCAAAGAAATGAGAAATTCAATGGGAGAACAATAGCAAAGGCAGGAGATCTAGAAAACTGTTTGTACGAATTAAAAAGACTGAAAGTGTTCATCTAAGTAATGATATATCTGTCCTGAAATAGTGAAAGGACTGCTGAAAAATAGCAGGAAATTTGTCTTCTATACCCATATAACCATTTTAAAATGCAGCAAGGGACATCAAGATTAGACATGAGGAAAATATGAGTATAGTAAGCACCAGAAAAAATCACCTAGGGAGGATGAAGCAGACACTTTGGAGGTTTGTTTAACCTAGTCAAAGAAACATCTGTCAGGAAGTAGGCTGTAAATATAGATGATCTTGCCTTGCAACATGAGAACATATAAAATGAATTCTTAAAGTGTATTTCAGCCTGATTTCTATGATTATTTACACAAAAAGCCAAGCTGTAACAGTTTTTCATTGCTTTTATGTTTTTCCCAGTGAGAAAGGAAAGCTTTTTATATCACCATTTATTACTCTGAGAAATACAAATGGTGTTGGCTAGACAGCTAAAATAAAAACCCTGCAACCACCAATGCAGATATATGGTTTGGGGGTCCAAGAGTGCATCAGTGTATGCAGAAAAAGGACTGTAGTTAAAAGACATGGAGGAAACGGTCCTAACAATTAATTTACACATGGACAAAATGAAATTGGTCTGTACAAAAAGAAAATTAACACCAAATCCTAGCCAGCAATCTAGCTAACATTATTCAAAGTGATTTACTACTATGTGATTACGATAATATGATTACTACTATGTGATACATGCTGTGCTGTAAACAAGATTAATCCACAATGTCCTTTTCTTAAATTTACTGAAGTTACTTATGCAGGAATTTTGCTGACTACATTTAAAATTTGGTCCTGTCAGTGTCTGTGTTTGAACATGGGGTTTGCATTGTTGTACAATATTTCACTTGCACAGCAGCTGCACTGTCTGTTCAAGTTCACAGAGTACCAAATCCTGATTGCTTTTTTTGCTGTGTTAGGAAATACTACACACGGCTCTTCTCTCGTATCTTTAGCTTTTAGCTTTAGCTTTTAGCTGTTATAAATAACTGTAATTTATAATATAACTGTTATTTATAAAGTACTCTCAGATATCTATTAATGGTGTTAAGGAAGTGCAAAGCATTGCTTTTCATTTTGAAATTGATTACATAGTTCCATAATATGATTTCTTTTTTTTCTTTTAATGCGAGCTATGGTAGGCATTGTTCTCCTGAAAAAAAAAAAAAAAAAAGAAAAAAAAAAACCTGCAGAAAATAGCACCTAATTCTTAATGACTCAATAGAAAATTAAGAGGATTATGAGATTTCATTTTAAAAGTACTGCATAGCAGTTGATAATGTGACTTTCTTGAGCAGGAGGACTGAACAAGCAGGTGTGGGAAATTTTAATCAAATTAAGTTGCATGTGGTAAAATATATAATTAAAAGAAAAAGTGGTATTTGACTTTATACATATGGTTCCTGACAACAGAAAGGGAGGAATACAGCATCACTTACTGAAAGGAGTACAGTTCATCTGACCACACCTCTTCAGTTATAACTGGAAATGATTTTTATTTTCTTTGGTAAAAAAAAATATATTTTTTTTGGCTTTAGAGCCCAGACTATATGATAGAAGGTGATAAGAATTAAGCAGGTTTCTTATTCCTCTTTCCTATATAGTGAACAGGTCCTAATACCCTTCTGGGCAGAACAGCAGTAAAGGATTATTCTCCTTTGATTGAACCTGATGTTGCTTACCCAGAAGCTGTAAAAAGCAGCAAGGCAAACAGATGTCACTTATGTAAGTAGCAAGATACTTCGTGATCCTGGAGTCTCCTAGTATGTTTTTCATTACTACTTCTGTATCCATTTAGAGAACTTCAACTTTTACCCTGAATATCTGAAATCAGTGCAAAAAGTTTCTCTGTATTGAATTATTAGAGAAAAAAATATCCAATTTTGGAATAGAGAAAATGTATTTCAGTGATTCAGAATTAGTAATTTATCCCCTGGTGAAACTACAGTCTTCATTTAAAGATCACCTTTTTGGTCAACAAGTTGATTTTAGCAGAAGAGAAGCAGTATGCAGTGAAGAACAGTGATGAAGGACCAAAGAGTAACTGAAAGAGCATAAATGAGGTTTGGTAGGTCTTGAACTCTCTGAAAGCCCTGGAAAATCACCAGGAGCAGACTCTTTCATGAGGCTAAGTCCTGAAGTTAGTGAAAACCTTCTGCAGTAGTTTCCTAAGATGAGCAGCAGAGCAGGTCTTTGGAAATGGGCAAGCTGCACTTTGCTGCCCACTAGGCCAGACAAAGGCTGCTGAGGTATAAAGCAACTCCAACAAGAAATAGCCATGAAACACAGCTTTTTGCAGTGGTAGAAGTATCCAGCATATTCACAGAAATTTCCATGGCTGAACAGAGGCTTTTGACTTGCCAGAAAAAAAAAGCCAGACTGGCTATTTCCAGGAAGGCTGGGAACTGTTCTGAGCTGAGTACCCACGGTCCCTGGTCTCACTCCAGTTTAAATGTACAATTTACAGGCTCTCCTTCCTTCACAAGATCTCTCCCTGACATTATGTAGAAGTACTACATCCTTTGTTCACCATTATTTAGATAACACACAGCCTCCATGAAAATGCTGAAAGACTCTCAATTACTACCTTAACTGGGTCTCTGCTGGTAACATCCAGGAAAGCGTATGTGGTTTCAAGAATGTCATCTAGCAGAATACAGAAAATGTCATCCTAAGAGAAAACAATGTGCTCGGTTCCTTGATGCTGCTCTGTTTCCAGAGCCATATTCCAAACTGTAGCTAGAAAGTGCTAGAAGGGTGTTTTTACCTGTCTCATACACTGCTTCTGATACCGAGGTGAAGTGGTCTTCTACTGTGTACTGTGCCAGCCGGAGTGTGTCCAAACCTCGAACTGAATCATTTCCTCTAGTCCAGTAAAACGTGACATCATTGATGTTATAACCCCCTGCAGTGATACACAAGCGAACAGAAGTGTTTATTTCACACAATAATTATTTTGTGCTGAGCACACTTAACAATTCATCTGTTTCTTGTTTGTCCCTCTGACAGCACAATTAGGCATAAACAGTGACAGGTTTTGGCAGAGGATAATGCCTGTTTGCAACAAAACTGCCAATAACATGCAAAGTCTGATCATTTAAAAGCTGATGTTTTCAGAAGTGTCTTTTTTTATATATTTTATTCTAGTATAGACAACATAAACTAATAAAAGAGATTGGAACCACACGGTATTCTGAAGGCAAATGCTATTAAGCTTTAAAGAAATACAGTTTTTATGAATTACAGCACTGTCAGCACTTGGACTAAACTTTAAGCGCGTCCCTTGTCGCACCCCGGGGTGCTGTTTCTCGATGCAGTGCATTAGGTCCTCATTCCCATAGAGATGAAGGGCTGAAGAGAACAGCAGGGCTGCCGTGTGCTGGCACTGTGCTCTGAGCTGGGCTTGGGTCGGCACTTGGGATGACATTTTGGCTTAGGAGCTTGGATGCTTCCCAAGGACACCAGTTTAGATGTTGATGTTTCTGCAGGCTCAACAGCATGGCACACTTCAGAGGCCCCAGGAGATTTCCTCTTAACCTTCAAGTAGTAATTAGGAGCTGAGATGGGACATGAATCATCTATCAGAAGGCAACTGTATTTTGCACACACTTGTCAATATGCAGCACAATCATAGCTAAAATACTTCTGTAGCTTTTCCCCATTATACTAAAAGGCAGGAAATTTTCAGGCTAGTGTATATGATTAATTCAAGATTATGTTAATGTAATTTACATGTTAACAGGGAGCATTTGAACATCTTTTCCTTTAGCTTACTTAGATCAATCATTCTTGTATTTGACAGACTTACATTTTGCAAGTTAATAGCTAAGCTTAGGGGACAGAAACATGAGCAGATGATTATTTTTAGACTCCAGTCAATTGTAAGCAAATTACGGTGAGAGACTATAATGCAATACATTGCACAAGGGTACATGCTGCAGAAAGAACAAAGCTCTAGAACCACAGAAAAAAAAAACATGAATTAAAATAAAAAAGAGCATTTAAATATTTTTGCGTTAATGGCTTTGGTTCTAGCAATGACAAAAAAAAAAAAGGAACTAATTTCCTACAGTCATTTAATGCAGGAAAAACAAGAGTTCAGAAATTTCATTTCAAGAAAACACTGTACTGGTTATCAATTAAAATTACAATTTAATCTGGAAATTCTTCATCTGACTATTCTTTTAATGTAAATCTTGTTTTCAACATCATTGGTAGTTTTCTAAAAAGGTATAATGACCAGGAATCTCTGCTCACATTATCACATTTATAGCAATTAAAGCCAAAAACCTTTGGCAGTGCTTTAGACACTGCTGTGTCAAAAGACTAAGCTAAAAGCATGTATATTCAAGCTAAGTTCTCAATTCCCTAAAACCACATGCTGAGAAATTTCCCAGGTTTGGGAGATGAAAAATAAAAGTAACATTTCCTATAGAAAAATGATTGCATTGTCCTCAGTCAAAACAAAGAGGTTCAGAGAAGCAGTTGTTATTTCATGGCTCCAGGCATGGATTCATTTTACTTCCCTTCAATATAAAGGAACTGCAGATATTTAAATAAAGGCCAAAGAACTAGAGAGTGCCACAAAAAATTCTTATTTTTTACAAGACACTGGGTCTTCCAAGTCTGGTGAGATAGGGGAAATTCTCGATGCCTGGATGTGTGATAAAAAGCATATCTCCAAGTGCAGGTTGTTTTGCTTTAATACAACCACTTTGCTCCAAAGTACTTCCATTAACTGAACAATTAGTAGGCTTTGGTGATCCTTCATAAAAAAATTCTTTGAAAATACTAATTCCAAAACTCTGCTTGTGAAAAAATTTCATTTCCCAATAGTCTGTAAAGTTAAATAGCACGGCACTCCCTCTGTGCTAAATTATTTTTTATTCAGGGGATTAATATTTTACTAATTATAAAATGTTTTAGAAGTTTATAGAGATAAAATCCTTAAGCCATCTTATTTGGCTTTTACAAGTAATTTCTATTCTCTTTACATGACACTGAGTTTTCATTCTGACTAATTCCTCAAGCCCAAAATGTCTAATTCCTGTGCTTCATTGATACAGTACAAGCAGCTAATGTCAACAGGGTTAATAACGAGAACAGTAAAATTGGGATTAAACATTTCTAATGCTTAATACAAATGAGTTTCTTTAACTTTCTGTTGCTAATTTTAATTTCCCCTGATTGTCAAGCACAAGTTAAGTGCCTTCACGTGGCTCTTCACTGAATAAATGCTAAAGGACATGTTCAAAAAGGAAATATCATTTCAGAGATGGGCCCAAAATATGAATATGTATTTGGACTGGAGACTAGGGGCAGGGGGGAAAGAAGAAAAAAAGCCCTTGGCCCAGTGTAAATGAACGGTGGTGTTCCCTACCACATGACAGACAGCATGAACATCCCAGCAGCCGAGGACAACCCAGACAGGAGCCTCCAAGTTCCCAAATGTCACATCTGCCATACCAACAGAAACTGGGAGTGGCAACTCTCTGTCTTCTAACACATGCCCGTACTACCCTCTAAAGTGCTGCACAAGGGGAAAAAAACAATAGACATTTTCACTGAAATGTATTTTGCTGTGTAGAAAATAAGTGTAAATTAATGCCATTAACCAGTAACAGCAGAATAGCATGTTGTAAAGGCCACTAGGGATGCTTTACTGTGTAAAGCCATTACTTGGTAATGTCACATCATGCTTGTCTTTGCCTTAGTAATCACTTAAAAAAAAGACCAAACATTTTGTTTCAGCTCAAATATTTGCTATGTATTTTACATTTTCCTTATAAATGTCAGTGTTTGTGTGGATGTGTATGCACGCTTGCATTCACAATTCTTAATTCCAGGTAATGGTATTTGCAAATGGTATTCTAAGATGATGTCGTTATTCATCTATAAGCTGACACAGCTCATTTCATGAGGGAACAAACACCAATTCCAGCGTAACCAAAAGCAGGTATTACAATGCACTGAAGAAAAGGGTCCACAGCTAAAGCCATATTCCTTCCTCTTGCATTTATTGTTTCTAGCTGTTTTCCTTAAAACTAAACACCAATATTACGGAAGCATTTGTGAGGACACTACTATCTTTTCCCCTTAGACAAGAGTCACTTGTGTGTTGTAAAAGCAGATGGAATCATTCTGGAAAATGCTTCTTCTTAATTATATAGGGAATTCTCCTCTTTCTAATACTGTCAAAGAGATTTAAATTCCCATGGGACATATATTTCATTCTGAAACTAGAGAAAATATTAAATGACTCATTAGGCAATGCTATTCATGTCACTCAATGTTCATTGACTTACAAATACGCTCTTCCAAAGAAAAATAAATTAGCGATAAATCCAAAGTCTAATTCAAATCATTATCTGTTAAAGAGATCTTATAAAACTGCTGATTCTAGAGGGACTGCTAGAGTGTGTGAGGAAGTGGCTTATATTCTTTGTGGTTCTGTCTAAAATGAAATGTTACTGCAATCTTCTAATTGGTCATTACCAACAGAAGATGAATAAGACACACACACAACTGAAATAGTAAAGAATAAAACTTGACAAGTATTGAAAAACCTTCCAAAAGACTTTAAATATGTATTGACATATATTTGAACATATATTTTCATTATACAGGATTTGGTATCCTTTTACATTATCTCATATGAAAATATGTTGAGAGTGTTATCATATGAATAGCAAAAAGTTAACTATAAATATGCACATTTGGGTATTTGCAAAGTGACCATGTCTACAAAGTAGTAGAGAGCATATTTTAATAAGGACATTGGTTGATAAAATGAGAACCTATAAAGGTGCATTTAGTCTTGGTCCATCAACCGATGACATTTTTTCCCAGGGCACTGGTACAGAGACAACTAACTAAATCATAGAAGGATCTGTATATATCCATCTCAGGACAGAACTGTCTAAGCAATTACCCTTTTTTCGGTATGAAGACAGTAAATTAATTAAACATGAACTCTATGCCTTAAAAATAAGCCTCATTCTAATTTCTTTCTTTCCTAAAGGAATTGTGCCTCAAGGAAAAAAATACAAAACCATACTATATGAAAGAAAAAAAAATAATAAAAAAAAAATTTCCAGCTCTGCTTGAAAATATCTGCTCACAGAACTCCCCCTGAAGACGAACAGAATAACTGCAGGATGCACTGCAAAACCAGGCCTGTGACAAATCTCCTCAGACTTTGTTTAATCATTAATAGCATGGCAGCATTTCAGTACTGCCATGCTATTTTCAGTGATACCTCATGCATTTATCTTTGTATACAGATACTATTGTAATTCAACAAGGGCTGGTCACATAATGTCCCTTGGCTTCTTTGAAGATTCCAGCCTCTTTGATAATACTATCTAACAGCCCTTGAAAAAGATCAGATATATTTCCAACTGTATAAAAATAATAAAGATCACATTTCTTACAGCTTTCCAGTTGCAAAGTACACGTCTGCTTGTCCATTGGATATTTGGTTAGATCCATGCTGCATGCAACAGTTGTAGTGATTCTTGAAAAAAAAAAAATTGCTAATTATTAATTGGATAAAATTGTTCATTAAAAATAAAAATAAGGCATGTATTCTTCATGATCTATTACTTGCAGGCAAATATCATACTATTCAAAGGAAAAAATCTAGTATTTTTCATTGCTTAACATGAAAGACTAATAGTATTCCAAACAAGAAACATCTCCAAAATAGCTGAGTTTAGCAGCAGTCTAGAAAGGCAACCTCTTGCTCCGTTCTCACTTACAGAGTCCATTTTTTCTTTGTTGATATTTTGCAATACATTTTACAGTTTTGTTATATTTATCAAAATATATTATAAAGGATAATCTTAAATAATGCAAATCAGTCATTACACCTTCCTTTCCTCTATGATGAATTCATTGCAAAACAACTAGAATGGCAAAATGCAATTCCTATATTTAGTGTATATGAAAGTAAAAGTGTCTATTGAGGGAAGAAAAGGTGACCTATTATTAAATTTAAGAACTTAGTCATACTGGACAATCATATTACATGTTTGTAAAACTACAATACCACGCATATCCTACTTTTACAAATAAACCAGTTTCTTAGCCATAAAATCATGCTAAGCTGGAAACTTTAAAATGTAAGTAGATGCCAAATATAACGGCTGATATGCAGTATATACATACCGTAGAGCATACAAGACTGTTCCATTAGGGTATATTCTTATAAGACGATTCTCAACAGTGATATCATGAAGAAAAGACTTTTTTGAATCAACTATGAAGGTATCTGGTACCCAAAGCATTTCCACAAGCCGACCATCTAAGCTTAAACTCTTATTACCATCAAAACAAAGTCTCTCATCAGTCCATCGCTGTCTTAGAAATATAGTTGCTGTGTAGTCCTGAGAGAGAAAAGGCAAAATTATCATACAGAGCACGTCTGTATCATATTCTGTTTCACAAAAGTATATGGAAACAGCTGTTGGGTGCAAATAGTCTACGTGACTCTCCGTGTCCCATTCTTAAACACTGGCACTCTGATAGCAGTTGTATTGGCTCATGTATTGCCAGATTTTCCAGCACTCAATGCGAGGTTGACCCCATTAAGAAGTGTTATCATGAGTAAATTTTGTTCCTATGGCCATTGGAATTTTACAGTAAAGGCTGATGGCCGAAGTCTGAGGCTTGAAATCAGCTGAAGTCATCAGAGTTTTGAAAGCAAATAATCTGGCTCTGTAAATCTTTAAATTGTAGAATGATATATATATTTGCAAACATCATTTTGTTCACATAAACTACTAAATAATACCTAAGAAAACTTTGGGAAAAGTTGTATAAATTCAGATAGGCAAAAGGACAAAAGAAGTTAGTGAAATAGGAAGGGAATCATCACCTTTTAGCACAATTTGTCCTTTCACAATAACAAGGGAAACAGTGGTGTCAAATTTGTCAAGACTTTTAATATAGCTCTCAGCCCAGTTCACCTACAATTCAGATATGCCTTATAATCTTACCTTAAAATCATACTATTTCTTAGCACCTCTTTAATCAACGTTTGATTTTATGGTGTGCTTTTATCATCATGATAAGTTCATCTTAAGTTCTGAACTTACTTCCCACTTCCTAAATACTAACTAATACTTGTTAAGTACAGAGGAATTCTAATATTCAGTTTCTTTGGAAGTCTGAGTAATGAAATGCTGAGGTACTTTAGATATACACACACACACACACACACACACTTATTTATTTATTTATATGGGTACACACTTTTGTACATATATACACACAAATATTTTCTAATATTCAATATCTGATTAATTAAGTTTGCCTTTTATTTCTATGTACCAATGGAAGATCTTTAATTAGAAAAGTAGACTCTACTTCATAGTTTGTTCAAAAATAAATTATACAAATGTAATGAAACACAGCTGGAATAAATTAATGTGTGACAGTAAAAGGGAAATACAATGAGTTCAGATGTGTCTAATCGCAAGGAATGGGAGTAGCTTCAAAGTCATATGAATATATTTTCAATTTTCTGAAATAAATATTTAGACATCTGGAAAATAAATACTGCTCTATACATCTTTCACGGAGATTAATACTCAGTAGCAGTACTAATAACAGTACTTTTGTTGGTATCTGTGAGAGATGTGATTTGAATTTCCATTTCTGTATTTATGGTGCTATAACCACTATCTGTAGTGAAAAATAAAATTCCACCCCCTAATACACATCGCCTGCACAAGGAGAAAAGCCTCAAAGTCACATTACCAGCAGCTGTAAACATGAGACATTAGCCTATCAACAAGCAAAACAAAAAAGATTGCAAAGGCTACAATACCATATTTATTTCTGATATTGTATCAATGCTTGCAATATCCAGACTCATTCCAATTGACACAGGACCATCTGAAAAAAAAAAAGAGAAAGTCAGAATCGAGCACATAGTTCTTTAATACCCAGAGATCAGGAGAACTGGTTACAAAATCTTCCACAATATGATCTTCTTTTTTTCTAAATGTTTAAGTAGCTTTTTTAAAAGGAAATATTCCTCAAACTTCAGATTATGAAATAATTTTAACAATTTTATAACTAAAATACAGTTCTTTTAGAATAACACTATCTTGGGTTTAGTAAACATACTTTATTTCCTAAATATTTCCTGGTTTATAAGATTTAATTTTTTTTCCCAGAAATAAAGTGCTGGGGAAAACATTGCACAACAAGTTGCGGAAGGTACAATCCCCATGGTACATCACACCCTTCTGCTCTGAGGTGCAGAGCAGTGGAAAGAATTCTTCCAGCTGCAACATCTGGTCTATCAGATGTTAATGAACTAAGGAGTTGCCCCTGGCAATGTCACATGGGTAATATCCAGATGGGAAAGCTAAGTGACTTTTTTTACTGCCTGTTTAAGAATATATTGTCTATATTGTGTCACTGCATTTTAACATCTAGCTTCTGACCACTAGCAGCTAGCCTGTGACTTAAATACTTGCATTAATAAAGGAAAGCCAGTCACTCCATTCTCCTTTTAATATTAATATCAGCTGTGTCAGTGTGATTAAACACCTTACCTAAGGAGTTGTCAAGGTGTCATTGTAATGTTAGTATGCTCAGACTCTTGTCTCCTTGTGAATGTACATTGAACAGTGTCAGAAGGAAGATCACCAGCTGTGCATTTGAAAATGCAGAATTTGTGCAGTACTTTCATGGAAACATGACATTATTCCCAGTTGAATATGTGCAGAATCATTAGTGGAGTACAAATACAAGGAAATTATTAAATTAAGTCCATCTTTCCAAGTAATTGAGAATGCAGTACTGAGAAATGAAAAAATATTTGAGATAAGATCTATGTAGCTGATGGTACCAGGACATCACAGGCACACTGCTGAAAGCCACTCTTGGCTTCTTGTATTGCCTTATGTACATTTTCCATGCCCCCAAAATGGTACCTAGAGGAAGATGTGCTCCAGCTCTACCCCTGCTGAGTAACACTAAAGAAATAAATGTGTCATTCAAAGTGGTATCTGTGTATTGGTTTGTTTTTTGGGTTTTTTTCAGAATAATTGCTATCTTGTAATGCAAGTGTTAATGTTGTTAAACATCTGGCACTTCTGGAAAAATCTGTAAATGCTTTGTTCTGGACTCAATAGAAAGTTCCAATATAAAGCTCCAGCTTAAAGCAGAACTGTAGGCTTGCAGAGTCCCTTGATAGTAGTCTATGTGTTTATTATATAATATAAATTGTACTTAGGATTAGAAGATGTTTATCTTTTGGAAGAAGACTTTGGAGGTAACTCTGGAGCAAAATTATTTGACTGAAAAGTTCTCAGACCACTGAAAGCTTTTTCTTCTGTTTCTTTCCATTCTTACAAGGTTTTGATACTCCAATAATACATTTATTTTTTGTCCCTCCAAGGTTAAAAACTTGACCCTCTAGGAAACTCAGCCCAACTTTCTAGGGTGCAACAGCAACACGGTCAATTGATAATTATCTTCACCATTGTACTATATCATTATCACAGGCTCGATACTGCCAGCGTCAAAAGATGTGTCCGGCCTCAGAAGAGGTCAGACCCTGAAAAATCATTACATTTTAAAATTACTGTGATTTATCATCCATTTTCTGTTTTTTTTAGGGTTTTGTTTTGTTTTGTTTTAGTCTTCCTACAGATTCCCATGTATGACTATAACAAAGCATATTATTGCCAATGCTCACACAAGAATTTGGGGGGAACCTCATCGTGCAAGACACACATTTAATGGTGGACCATTCTACGGAGATGACAATGCAGTGTTCAGCTGGCTACGTGGGAACTGTGTCTGGGAATAATCAGACTCTTTCCTATTGCATCATATTTTATTGGTAGGAACAACACTTTATCCTTGCCTAGTTAAGATAATAGAGACTGGGGAAAATGTTCATTAGCAGCATTTTAGTATCACTAGTTCCATTATTACACATCAGAGAGCAGCTAACTTTTGAGAAAGATCATTGATATTCAATTACGTTTAATTTCTCTGCAATCACAGAAACAGAACTTCATACATCTCTCTCTTCCTTCTTCCTTGTTGTGCTCTACTTCAAAATATTATTTAATAACATAACAGAATTGTAGTGTTGGGCAATTCCCAACCACCAGAAGACATCTAGCTTAGGTTAAGAGGTAATTCAAGCTCAGACTGATTGCCCTTGCACAGACCCACTCTGTGGTTCAAGTGCTAAGGAGCAGTAGTGTACTCAGGGCAAAATCACCCTGCTCTGCTAACCCTGATAGTCTTTGTGGCCCAAGTACTTGTGCTGTGCAGACAGCCTGTCAAGCCAAGCACTCATAAAAACTCAGCAGAAAATGACATCACCTCAGATACAGCAACATGCCAGGGAGGACTCCAGCAGAAAAAAAAAAAAAAAGCAAGCTAATTTCTTTTTGTGTGAGGCCAAATACAATACTAAATATGAAAAAGTATTAATACCAGAACGAGTCTTCCCATAATTACCCACCAGAGTTTCCCTTGAACTTCCTCTGAAAGACCTCCTGTTTACAGTGTCAAAAACAGGGCAGCAGATCAGATGAAGCAGCCAGTTCCTACATTTCCATATGTTTGGCAGGAACTGTATATATAATGACAACTTCAGAAGAAATCTACCAGTCTTCAGTCTGTCCTGCATTAGTGAAGGGAATCTTCAAAACATGGCAAAGAAAGGTCGAAGGATGAGCCGTGTTACGGCAATGGGGGCGCGATGTAACTAACATACATTTCAACTTTACTGAAATGCGTGTACAAAGACTGTTACTGCCTGCACTTCACAGATGCTCACAGCAATCCCATATGGGAAAGCAGACAGCAGGGTGGCAGATATCATACCTAAACATTAAGTTTCGATCACTGCCTGTTAAGCTTTGTATCAACAAAGTAAACCATCGTCGAGTCATGTATGTCTTTGTAACTCTGAAGACCCACTTAAATCAGCACTATCATGAACTCCCAGTGCTGAGTTGTCAGTACTAGCTCTTTTTCATTTAGTTCAAGAAAACGTAAAGCAATTCTGAGATTCAGAAATATCTCAAAAAGGTTGGTTTTTTGAAAGAACACCTCGTCCTTGCAGCAATAACAGATAAAATACTATGCAATTCTAACAGAAAATTAGATTAAAAAGTACCACTAGAGTAAATTATTATAATTTCATGAAAAACTGTTTTTGTCTGCCTGATTGCCAGCTCTGCTTTGTTTTAGAGTACTATGGGACATTTAGATAAAGTGATACATTACACTTTGATTTTTTGGGTGCCCTTAACTTTCCACCACAAAACATATATCTTGACAAATATATGGTACGTGAAGAGACTGGACAGATTAAAACAGACCTTCTGACAGATCTCAGCTGTAATTGTTGATACAAAGACATCAGAAAACAGACCCATTTATAGCAGAAATCAGCTTCAATCCTATTCACTCACATCAACGATCTTTAGACAGTGATGTAGCTTTACTAGTACAGTTTGTGGACCAGAAAAAAAAAATTGGTGGGGATTGTAATAATAACAGCTTGTTAAATCATTTCTCAAAAAAAAATATTTGAATACAGCCAAGTGAAAGTAATTAATGTGGGGACAAATAATGCAGGCAGTATGTACAGGATAGGAAAGTATCTTGGCAAGTGGTGCCTTTGAGAAGAATTTAGAGGGTGTCAGAGATAATAATTTCTACATGATCTTTCCATATTATGCTTTGGCACCAGCACTATTGCAATGGGAAGCAATACACAGAATGAAGTTATCTTGCAATCTAGACTGCATTGACAAGACTGTTATGAGATTACTGTGACAAGATTTGTTTTCCACATTTGAAACAAAAAAAACCAATATGAAACAGCAGACAGAGGAGACAGAAATATTCCAGAAGACAAAACACTCTGGAAGTTGAATACCAAAGCTTGTAACATGACAATTAAGGAATGACATTTACTCAGTTCCTCAAAGAAAAGACAGAGAGGTAACTTGCCCAGTCTCAATAAGTGCACAGAAGGGGTATCTGGCAGTAAATTGTACATGTTTTCTGACAAAGTAAAGTAAAGCAAAATCCCAGCTTCTGAAAGCAAGAGACAACATGAAACTTCAAATTTAATTTTTTTTTTCTAAATGAACTTGATCACTGCTCATTATTTAGTGTCTCTAGAACTCTGCATTTGGGGGAGGGGGGAACCAAACCAACAAACACACAGTAAACCATCCTGCATGCAGAAAGCTGGATTTGATGGCAGTGATAATCTCATAGTGTCTCTTATTTCCATGGGAAAGGAGGGAACATCTACATTACCATCTCTACGCTGAAATTTGCAGTTTTGCACCAGGTCACTGCTTTATTAAATCGCTATTTTAAGGATTTAGTATGGATTCAAAAGATACATTTTTCCAATATAAAACTGGCCATAGCTATTCTGGGCTTTTTGCCTTTCTCTGAAGGATTACGCATTGGCTAATTGTTACATAAAATAGTCTTTAGATTGTGATTATTTGGTATTTATTCCTCATATACCCTGTGAGCTCTTCTGACTAAATCAAAGGGTCTTTGACACAGCTAACATTCGGATAGCTCAGGGCCTCTTTTGGGGGTAAACTGTAAGCTTCCAAGGACTAAAATGCCTTCATCTAATTAAATTCATAGAACTTAATATAAACAAAATTTGAGAAAAAGATACGATGACTAGTCTTACACAGAAGGTTGGACTCGTAGATTTAATTAATTTTCTTGAATTTAAACTTTAAGACCATGAAATGTATTACTTATTAAAAAGCTAAGGAAAATAATCTTTTAAATGTGGTTTAGAATAACTGATTTAAGCATGACACTTTTCTATACCACTTGAAAGGAGCTTCCATATTTAAATATACTTAGCTGTGACCTTTTCCTAGCCTCTCTCTTTTTAATTAGAACACTTAAATTATCACGTTCAATCACAGAACAAAATCTATTTGTATAAAATTATTTACAAGATTTCATGCATCCCTTAACAACTCTATGAACCTGATCCAAGGCACACTGAAG